GGCGTGCCCCCTACCTCGTGGCCTCCGCTTTTGTGTCTTGACATAGGGTCCAAGTCTACTGGGTCTTGTTCGTTGAGAAAATCACGTTCCCGAAGGTTTCATTCCGTTTGGACTCCGTTTGATATTCCTTTTCTTCGAAACCCTAAAACAGGCAAAAAAACAGCAATTCTGGGCTGGGCCTCCGGTTAATAGGTTAGTCCCAAAAATAATATAAAAGTGAAAAAATAAAGCCTAATAATGTCGAAAACAGTAGATAATATAGCATGGAGCAATCAAAAATTATAGATACGTTGGAGACGTATCAGTGGCCATCTCGTGGCTCCTTCGACTTCATCTCCAAGTCTTATGGTTGTCTTCTGGTCCAAGAAAACTCACCGTGAAAGTTTTTATTCCGTTTGGTATTCCTTTTCTGCGAAACTCTAAAACAAGGAAAAAACAGGAACTGACACTGGGCTCTAGGTTAATAGGTTAGTCCCAGAAATAATATAAAATAGCATATTAATGCATACAAAACATCCAAAACAGATAATATAATAGTATGGAACAATCAAAAATTATAGATACGTTGGAGATGTATCAACCTTACAAAGTAGTACATCAATATGCCTGAATCCGCTATCTTGGCAATATTTGTCACTACTCCTATGCCCTTGATGAAGGAGTGCAGAAAGTCTATGCCGAATACCCAGACCTCTCACCTAAGCCTAGCATCTAAAGCCGGAGGGCCCAACCAAGCTACATACTAGGTCCGGGACGCAAACCGGTCCAATGCACTATCATAGGTCATCGCCACCATCTTCCACCAAACCATCTTCACAGCAGGTACTAACACATCAAACTTGACATGCCTGCCGTCGACGCCTCCACGACGCCAGACAATGCCTCCTCATTCATCATCACCCATCCGTCGTCGAGGCCCTGCCGCACCATTCAGCTGAGACTCCATGCCGTCGATGTGTCACATGGAATGCTGCTCCACCGTTGGAACTGTCCACTGGTCCCTCAAGCCAATGCACACCTCCAAGAATGACGCCCCAAGGAGGGAATGACACAAGTGTGTCGCCGTCATCCGATCGAATGATCTGGGGTTTCCCCTGGAGGTAGCGGATGGAGTTGGGAGCTTCACCTTGATGATGCCTTCAAGAAGGAAACGACGTCGAGGGCGTCACCATCACCGGCTCCGGCCGCCGGCCGAAGACCAGGTTTTCACCTGGATCTACCCCATGAGCATCCAACTGAAAACATTTGTACCATCCAGACCGCCTTCCAAGCCCCAGATCTGGCCGTCCGGATCTGGCGATCATCTACAACAGCACTGCCACCGTGGGAGCCTAGGCACAACTAGCCACTGCCTGTGTGTTTCACCACTAGACTGGGATGAGGGCCACCAACCCACCTCACCAAACCGTGAGAGCCACCGAGAGGAATCATGCACGCTCATCACCGTCGCTGACACGATCCAATCCGAAATCAAAGCCACCAGATCGCTGGTGCAGATCCACCTTGGACAGGGACACCGCCATGCCGTGTCATCGCGGGAGGTCTGGGCTTCACCTGTCACCACCTTTCCAGGGCCGCCACCCTGGGTCGCCACAACCACGAAGTCCTTCATGTTATCGCATCACCCACGCAGGCACCCCACGCCAGCGATCCGTTGTGCCGCGGCACCCTGTGCCGTGCCCAGGCCCGAGGAGGCCGGCCCGTGCTGCCCCATCGCAAGGGGAAGAAGACGCCCCGCCAGCGTCGGCGCCTGTCGGGCTTCACCCTGCCGTGCCCTTGGGTGGCGGCGAGGGAGGGAGGGTAGGAGAAGGCGATCGGTGAAGCAGATCAAAGGCCCCTCCCCGTCGCCTCGTGGGGGCGGCACGGGAGGGGTTGGGTCAATGGCTGTTTTGTATTGATATTTTTTTGAATTATGTACCTTTTAAAGTAAATCTAACGGCCTTAATTATTGTAGCTTAATTTCCATTCGAAAGTTGCTTACCACATATACCATGTGATAAGGTACGGGGGTGATTGGGGGTTGTTTGTATACGATTATAAGTACTACTCCCTTCGTCCAAAAAAATTGTCACAGGCTTGTCCCTCAAACGGATGTATCTTGGTGCTAGATACATCCATTTGAGGGACAAGATTTTTCGGACGGAGGAAGTATGTGATAGAGAAGAAGGAATCATCTTGTATGCATGAACTTACACCAGCTCGTGGAGTTTGTAGTGAAGGATTTGACGTTGGTCGTAGATTTTTGAGCTGCCCATATGATGTTAGTGAATCAGTCCATTAAATACAATTTGTTGTCTTTATGCTGCTGGCCATTTGTTTTGTGAAATGTTTTACCGATTCTAATTGAGTCGCCATATGAATTTGGTAGCTATATTCTTGTGGATATTTGGGGTGGGTGGATGAAGACAGGGGGCAACAAGTATTGTGATCCATAAGGCTGCCAACGACAATATGAAGCTGGAATGGGCACAAATTGATAACGAGCATCATATATATAGGATGAAGAAAGATAAAGCCCATATGTCGGAGTCAACAAATTGAAAGAATGGAGAGAAGGGCTTTAGTCGTAGTGTCACCGGTATGCTCATGGCAATTATCTATGTGTGGCATTTATCATTAGGGGTTTTATCTGCGAGGTTGGTCATATGAGTTAAATGGATCAATGGATTATGTTATAAATATGTCGGTTTGTACTGAAATATATTATGTGTTTGGCCTGATGAAACTCGAGCAATGACTACTGCAGCTGCTTCCATTTATGGTGATATTTTGTCGCAATGTGTGTAATGAAAGATGTTATAGTTTGTGATTTCTGATGCAAATTTGTCAATTTGTGACCGGAAATTAAACATGAGCATGTAAACATGATGTGTGAGTGCAAGTGGCAGTGTTGACACTATGTGATTGCAAAATGAAAAAGATCATGACAGGAAAAAAATGGGTTGCTGGCATTCGAATCCAAAACCTGGGCTAAAACTTTCCTTGTCTTCTCCTACCCATATCAAATCAAATCGAATCAAATCTTATTAAAACCACCTCACCTAAATCAAAAATTGCCTTCCCTACACGTAGTCAAATCAATTCAAATCTTACCAAGGTATGTAATACGATGGGTGTAAGATTTATGGCGGACATGATTTATGTTGAACCAATAGAATATGTATGTCATCATTGCAACGCACGAGCAATTAGCTAGTGGGCAGGAAAGGTCACCAATACTTTTTCCCCATGGCGATCTATGTTGCGCTTAGCTCTTGGCAACACAAGCCATGTTGCAATCCTCGTGGAACAGTTATTTTTTATACGACTGTGACATCAACTAAATCCCCAAATTCCCTTCTTTGCAACAAAGGTTGTGTTGTGCGTCAGGCTTTGCAATACAAGCCTTGTTGCCGAACTGTTTTTTATGACTACAAACTAATCTTCAAGTCCCCTTCTTTGCAGCAAGCTTTAGGTTCGTGTTGTGCTCAGCGCTTTGCAATATGAGCCTTGTTGAACCAATAGAATATGTATGCCATCATTGCTACGCACGAGCAATTAGCTAGTGAACAGAAAAGGTCATCGGTACTTTTGCCCCATGGCGGACAGTATTAAAGTCACCTCCAATGAACATCGAGGCAGGATCATGGCAGCAAACCCCAGCCAACTCAGTCTAGGGCATAGGCAAACATGTGGAGCGTGTTCGCAAGATACGCAACACTATACACATACCATTTGCTTGTGCAACAAACCCAACCTTAATTTACACCAATTTACAGTAATTTCACCTCCAGACTACCATTGAGAAGGAGCAAATATAGCGGCCCAGCAAATAATCAATCAAGATAATTAAACAAATTGGCAATACAATCTTATCGGTCCCATGGCTAAATGTGATGAGCTCATTGCTCCCACTTTGTAGCATTAACACCTTGTGGATTCCCCATTCATGTTGTCGAGGATGGCAATTACGCCAATCACAAAGGCCTGGTCATAGCCCGGCTGCACCACCACATGGTAGAAGTCCCGGCCGGCCATCATCCCCTTCACTCCAATCTAGTTCACACGTTATTAGAAAATCAAAACTCATAATTGGTACAGTAATTGAGTTGAACTGAACTCATGACTCAACTCCTTTGACTTATCACGTGATAGAACTTTACCTGTGCTACGACGTGGCCTGTGCGGCTCTTGACGGCGCAAGCCCTGTGGGCGAAGGATCCCGTGACCTCGTAGTCCCAGTGCCGCTTCCTCCCCTTGGGTTCGACGGTGACCCGGACGTCGCCCGCCGCGCAGCTGAGCACCGGCTTCGGGTCCTGCAAGCTGAACACCGGCTTGCTCGGCTCGCCGTAGTCCATGAGGTACCCTTTCCACCGGTTGTGAACGCTCAGCGCTTGGACGACTCCTCCCTGTGACACCGGCCAAATCGGTTGAAACACGCAGAGATGGCACATGGACTAGCTCGAGCTCGACCTACGAACTCGGTAACTCACCTTCTTGTGGATGAAGAGGATGGCGGTGCCGTCGCCGTCCCTGACGACGAGCTGCCCGCTGGCGCCGATGATCCCGCAGCCGTCGACGCTGAAGACTACCCTCTGCTCGCGGTCGGTGACGACGAAGCCGCCTCCGGTGACGGCGGGGGGACGGCGGCGGACCAGGAGCACGGCCTGCAGGGAGCTGCAGAAGATCTTGCTGACAACCGGGGTGAGAAGCGTGTGCGCACCCATTGATAGATCGATAGCCTGCGCACGTGTTGAAGTCGGGACAATGCATCAAGGAGGGAATAAATAGAGCGATTTTGAGTGTGGAAGTGTCCCATGACTCCTCATGTCGCGTCTGGCTACCCACCTGCCTAATCGATCGGCGCTGTACGTACGTGATTATCGTGAACCACGCGATTCCACGAAGCTTAGCGGCCGAAGCAATGCGTGACAAAGCCTAGCTAGCTAGTATATATACGCAGGACCACAGGAGATGGATTGATCGCCGGAAGAATCTTTGAATTCCTTTGCTTCCGGCCACCAAATTGCAGCTTTGTGTTTATGCCTTTGCCTTTTTGAGGTGTTTACGTCCAGCTAAACACAAGGATTATACCTAATTGCGGGCCTAATCACGCGCCCAAACGTGTTAAACTTTATGAATACCCGTATACGGCTTCCCGCGCGTGTGTCCATCTATGCTCTCGCATATGTGGCTTGATTTAATTGAAATAAAATAAGGTCCGATCCCACCCCTTTAAAATCAGGAGGGGAGATGATTACTGATTAGATTAGAAAGAAAAAAAATAAAAAAGACAGTCGTACGATGAAGTGGAAACACGGATGAGAGCATGAAGAGGGAGCAAGCAAGCCGGATCCTATATGACAACGCTTACCGCCTCCTTGCCGAGAAAAGAATGCATGCATGCACATGCATGTTGGAACATGGAAGTGAGAAAGTAAGAAAGATAACCCAGCTTATCATTGCCCGGTGAGTGTTCTGATTTTATTTCGTTTCCGTCGTCAAGCACAGAGCATTAATCATGGGGCGAGCAAAATTCCATATAAGTTACTCTCTAGGCAGGTAGCACAAGTAAAGAGTACACAGAGAAAGGCAAGGAGGCGCCTTTCACTCCTCCTACCGTTGTTGCCTGGTCGTGACGTGGATGATCGGTGATGCCTAGGGGATGCCGGGGCAGCGGTACTGGATGGTGGCTTCACAATTGGCTTTCTGGCAGACTCCACCTCTTGGTCGTGTGGACGGAAAGGGGTGTAGTGATGGGAGGCTCTGGTCTGCTCTTGCAGTGCGCAGATCTGGTGTGGATGAGCTAGCCCTCGTTGTGGTGGTGATCGAAACTCCTCTTGGTGATGTAGGCGAGCTTCCGAGCGAAAGCTTTGCATTTCTGGCGCCGACAACGGCGGCACCTATGGGTGTGCTTGCTTCCTGAAACGTCGTCGTGCCACTTGTTCCTGTCTCGGTGCTCCAGGTAAAAGCCAATGTCTATGCTCGGACTCGGCAGGTCGCGTTGTCACCCTCTCCGGGGTGTTATCGTGGAGCTCAGGATTCTTTGGTCGAACCTCGACGAGGTGTTAGGCCTGTTTTAGACTCAAGTTGTATCTTTTGATTGGCTTTGTACGAGAGTCTTTCTCATCATATTGTATCGTTCGGGTGTGAACTATGTTTTATTGCTTTGATAAGGGTATACAAAGAATGATGAGTGATCAAGTTCGCTGGACTGGGCGGGCTTCTTGTTTCCAGGGTTCCAATGAGCACGGTTTGCCGTGAGCCATGTGACACCGCAAGGACTATATCAACTGTCTCGCCTGAAGCTTTCCCCTGCAACTACAATACTAGGCCAGCCTTTTTCATGCGTTCCTTCGCACACACGCTGTCGCTCGCGTTTGCTTCCTTCTCTCGGTTGCGTTGCATCTTTTCAATTTCTTTTTCGTTTTTTTCTCTGTTTCTTCGTTGGTTTCTTTGGTTTTCCTTTGTTTTGCAACGCTTTCTTCATATTGTATTCCCGCTTTTACAGGTTTCTTTCTCTTTTTTTTTCATTTCTCTTTTGTCCATTCTCTGATTTTTTTCTATTATATTTTCTTTGCCTTTCTTCGGTTTATGTTTCTTTCTTAGTTTTCATCAGTTTACTTCATTTTTCCTTCGTTTTCTTTTCTTTTAATTTTTTTTCTCATGGTTTTTCTTTGGATTTTCCATTTTTCTTCGTTGTTCGGGTGTTTCTTTCTTCCGTTTCTTCGGCTTATCACCGATTTTTTTTTTGCTTTTTTCTTTTTTTTCTTCAACACATGTCTACATTTTTCATATACATTTGCAAATTTTAGGTAAACATTAGGAAAATTTATTTGACACATGTTTAACATTTTTCTAATATGTGATTAACCTTTTTAGAATATGTTTGAAGACTAGATTTTTCATCCACATTGTACATTTTCAATATATGTCAGGAACATTATTTTAATACATTTTTAACTTTTTTGAAATATATGATTGACATTTTTTCTACACGATCAACATTTTTTAAAATTTATGTTTTTATGTACAGTTTTTAAATACACGTTCTACATTTTTCCTATACATTGGGAACATTTTCTGTGCACATATAACATTTTTTAAATAGATGATGAGAAGTTTTTCAAATTTTGTGTTTGATGACTACTTTACCATACACATTGTACATACTTGATATTAGGAACATTTTTATACATAGTTTACATTTCTTAATAATATGATTAACATTTTTTGATATAGGATCAACATTTAAAAAATCATCTTCAATTACTTGATACGCACTTTACATTTGGTATACGCAAGGAACATATTTTTTGTACACATTTAACTTTTTTTAATAGATGATTAACATTTTTTCAACTGCTAGGTGAACTTTTTTAAATACATGATCGACTTTTCTCATACACATTTGTTTGTATATACACGAGAAACCTTTTTTATAAACATTTAAGATTTTAGAACTGCTAGATTAACATTTCCCAAATGTCTTATGTAGAGTGTCTATTATTAATATATATTTTTAGAATATTTGGAAGTATAACAAAACGTGCAAAAGAAACAGAAAACGAGGTTGTGACCTCCCGCAAGCTAGGCTGGCCCTGTCTCGCGCTCTCTATGTCAAGCGAGACATAGGCACGCCGGTGTGGCGTGGCCATACAGGGCTACAACGGTTGCAATGTCGTGACCTAGGCCGAACGGGCCACGAAATAAGGGTTCCTGTACGGCGTATACCAGCCCATTTCGGGGTTTCACCCCCAACCGGTGTTGGGAATGTTCTAGAACCTTCCCTGAACCGGGTTTTTTCTTTTTTTTTCTTTTTTCTTTTTCTTTTCTGTTTTGTTTTCGTTTTTTATTTACTTATATGTTTTCATTTTTACTGTTTTTTTTTCAATTTCCTAAGATCTATTAATTTGTGATTTATTTTTTAAGTCGTTAACTTTTTTTTGCAATGATGAACATTTTTTCAAAACCGTGGTTTTATTTTTACTAATGCGTGTACATTCTCCAAAATCATGAACATTTTTTTGTAACCATGAACACTTTCTATAACTCAAGAACATTTTTTCGAAATTGTGAACTTTTTCCTAAATTTTTGAACATTTGGTAGAAATTTGTGAACAGTCTCTTAAGTCGTGAACATGTTTTTGAATTCATGAACATTTTTTCTAAATAATGAACATTTTAAAATTATAGACTAAATTTTCAAAATCTTGTACATTTGTTTTTCCCAAAATTGTGAACATTTTTTGAATTTGTGATTTTTTTAATCGTGAACATTTTGTTTCAAATTTGTGAACAGTTTTCAAATTAGTGAACATATTTTTGAATCGTGAACATTTCTTTTCAAATGCATGAACTTTTCGAATTAGCGAACATTTTCTTGAATCACGAACATTTCTTGAATTAGCGAACATTTTTCTCAAATTAGTGAATATTTTGAGAATTAGTAAACATTTTTTTGTATCGAGAATATTTTTTTTTCAAATTTACGAACATTTCTTGAATTAGTGAACATTTTTTTTTCAAATTCGTGAACATTTCTTCGCCTGCATGGGCCTTGCCCAACAACCCTCCCTGCCTCCCGTCGCTGGCTTGTTGGCTCCCGTACAACTCGCTCGTTTTTTAACCGGTATTTTGATACAGTACATACTATTGCTTTAAAATAAAAATCAGCATGTATGTTATAGTATGTACTACTGTTCTTAGAAAAAAAAGACCGGTTTTAAATCCATGAATTTGAAAATAACTTCAAGGATTTGCAAAAAATGTTCATTATTTTGAAAAATGTTATTGGGGGAAAAATATGCGAATTTGAAAGTAATTCATTAATTTTGAGAGAAAGTTCACTAATTATAAAAAAATCGACTTTGAAAAAAAGTACACAGATATGGAAAGGGTGCATTTATTTAAAAAATAATGGATATGGAAATGTTCATCAATTTGAAAAAAACGTAAAGAGCAAAAAATATCACAAAAAATGAGAAAATAACTTACATGAGTTTGCAAAAAAGTTTTTGGAGTTCAAAGGAAACATTTTAAAAAAATGAAAAAGAAAATGTTATAAAATAAATAAATAAAGATGAACATGTTTTTAGAACACAAAATTTGTTTTGAATTCCTTAACAATTTTTAAAATTACAAGCTTTTTTGGGAAAACGGATTTTTTTTTGAAAACATGATAATATTTGCAAAATCCGAATATTTTTTATAATTCCAACCTTTAAAAAAATCCAATCAACTTTTGAAGAAAAAAACATAGAACCTTCTAGAAAGTTCCTAAAATCTAGTTCTTGTAACTGCTAAATGCGTCGTCCCATCTGTTGCTCGCTCGGTCGACCATTATGCCAAAAACAGGATTGCCGGGCTTACATGTCTTTCCTTTCAATGGCATTCTCTGCCCTTTTTCTTTTTAATTTAAATTTTGTCTTCCTACACTAATCTTGTGTTGTCTCACCTCTCTCCTTCTCTTGGCTTTTGTCTTCCTTTGGTCATCCTTCTCCGACAGCCGCCATCGTTAAATTTGATCACCAACACTCCATGTGTACTGTAACCTCATTGTATTGTTGAATAAATATGTCAAAGGCAAAATACATCTCTGGGATTAAACATAAAGTTGAGACTCACATTTCTGGCCTAGTCTCCTGAAGGTCAAAGAACTTTTTGGTAATAAAAGTAGATTTTGGGAAGATTGGTGGGAGGGAGGTAAACCACTCAATCTCTCATA